AAAAAGAAGAAAATAAAACCTCACTAGTTTTATTACAAGGCAAAATATCTGGGAATAAGAAAATAAAATATATCCAAGAAAGGAAAATACTGGCTGAGAAACATGGATGTAAGACTTGTATAATGTTAAATTATTCCAATGTTATTTTTCTCAGTAAACTCATAACTACAGTTTAGTTGCCATAGTCAGTTAGTTGCTTTTATTGCCACAGGTTACCACGATGTGTCATTTTTAAAAATCAAATACTTTTATGCATAAAGAAGAGAAAAATTTAACGATCATTTTTTACACCTAATAATTCTTCTGTAAACTACTTTGAAAAGAAAACGACTTGAAAACCCTTCTTTTTTTGAAGTCGGTTAATTGATATACTATTTATTTATTTATTTATACTTTTCTGATAACCGCATCAAAATCGGTCCAGCCAGTTGCGAGATAATCGCGCACAAATATACAAATATGTATACAGCTCAAACTGAGAACTGTTTTTGTTTTGGAAGTCGGTTAAAAATATAAATAAATTATTAAAACAAAGCCAAAAATAATGATATAACATTTAATATAATGATATTGTTTGTTTTGAAAAAGTTATTGTTAGAAGACATCATAATTATGTAAAACTCAGTAAACAGCGAAATACAGGCCGTAGACCTCAAATACAAGAGAGCGCTGCAAAGTCGGTCATGATAATAGTCGCTGTTGTGACTTCCTTTGGTAATTCTGTTCTCAAAATAAAAAAAAACTTTATTTTTAAATTACAAAAATAGCTACATCGCGTAACAGACCTCAACAGACTATGAGACTCCTCGACAAAAGAGGGTTTGTCATATTCTCCACAATACGGTATTTTACAACTAATCAAATTCAATACTTTTATCGAAACGTCAAAAACGATATTGTTCTATGAATTTTGTACCAAAAACTAACTTATGACGTCATCATATTTTCGAGTCAAATAGCACACTTATTTCTGAAAAAATTGCCAGAATAAATCGTAAATTAAGTATAATAACATCGTCAAATATATGAATGTAATTATTTTTGAATATTTAATTGGATTGAAAAATCAAAATTTGACTGTACGGTTAGTGCGGTGGCTAGGCAACCGGCTGCCGTGCAACGTGTCGCGGGCTCGATTCCCGCACGGAACAACACTTTGTGTGATCCACAAATTGTTGTTCCGGGTCTGGGTGTCATTGTGTATGTGAACTTGTATGTTTGTAAACGCACCCACGATACAGGAGAAAATCCTAGTGTGGGGCAACGTTTTGTTTAACCCGACTGACCGAGGAACCTGACCGAGGAAAATACCCAATTGTCAATGGAGATGAGAGTTAAGTTCTGGTTTATCAAAGAGCACTGCTGTCCAGTCTATCAAATGTGTAGTCTCTAGTATCCCTAAGTTGTCGGATCTTAGAAAACCCGTTGATAAATAATGAAGAGTGTTATAAATGTTATAATTGGCGTTCCATAGTCTCTGCCTACCCCCATGGGACACAGGCGTGAAGTTATGTATATATGTATGTTACTTATAAATGACCACATAAGTCTAAGGCAATTTTTCTATGAAATCAACTGAACTAGAATTAATTATTATATATATTTTCGGCTTACTCACGAAACTTTTTGACGAGGAACTCGAATAGTTTCAAGGTATGTCAGAGGCTCATATTCTTGAGCAGTATTCCGCGACGCGCGACGAGGCGACTGTCGCATTGCTACCGACTGCTCGACTCTGCGGCGTCGGTGTGGACCCACCGAGTTCCTCGTCAAACAGTTAGATACGTGAGTAAGCCGAAAACATAATAATTATATATTAATTATGTCTCACGAAAGTTTTTTATAGAACTAGAATTTATTTAAAAATATTATAAAAAATACGTTTTCTTACAAATATAAGTCTTTAGTCATTTAAGTTAATTTGATCGGATCTAGAAGCAATTTATTTTTCGCTTGATACACAATAACGTCGAACGCACACTAGAGGGGCGTTATTAATTCCCGGGTTATTAGTGGTGACGTCATGTTATTATAAGGGATGATTTGTTACCGAGGGAAAGTGTAGCGTCTTACGTTAGAGGTTAGAGGCTTGTATGGTCATGGCTTTATAGTTGTGTGTAATTTTTATAAGGGGTGGTTTTTGTTGCTCATTTTTATTGTACTACAAACATCCACTTTATGGCTTTTCTGAGTAAGTATAGGTGAACTTCATCTTAAATGAACTCTCTAGTAACATTTTTAATAACATTGCTAGTGTCTATTGCTGGATATATCGCTATTTGATTTAGAGATTTTAAGTTATGTGTAAGTCAAGTATGTATGTATAACAACATTTCCACACCGGGAATAGCACTCAAGCTACTGCAATCGTATTTATTTCAAAACAACTGCAGTTATATCCAAATCTAACTATAAAAGAAAACACTTCAAAGGTTTTCCCAAGTGATCTTATTTTATCTTTAACGCCCCAACGTGCCTGGTTCACGTTAACTGGCATCAACACCTCATTTACGCTGCGAACATGATGACAGATACCATCTCCCAGCACATTAACCTATCGTTATATCCCTTTTTAAAGGCCAAAAACGATAAAACCCCGAAATAATAAAACATTAAAATCTCTTTTGTAATTCACTGGCAGTCTTTTGTAATTCGTAGATTCCGAATCTCACCAAAAAAGTTTTCTTAAGTCGTTAAAAATATCTGAAAGGAGGGCAAGGGAATTCGTAAAAATCCAGGGTACGGTAGCTCGGTTATAATTGTCGGAATTGTTCAGTTAAATACGAGTTTTAATGACTTTTAATAGCTGATCATAATGTTAAGTTACCTTTTTTGTCGGCCATTGTTCCAGGGTATGTCTGTTAACCGGGAAAAAGGGATTGCGAACTAAACTTTTCGAGTTTTAAAAAGAAAACTTTTGGAAATATTACTCGATTTTAATCTTGTAAATTGGTAGCGGTTTTTTTCTGTTTATTTTAGTATAACATTGCATATTTATTTAACTCAATAATAGCACGAAAAATATTATACGAAACTGATATTTTTTATTGGCAACATCATAATTTTCTTTTTTTTCTCTCCGAACTTTTTGGCGTTCGAAAACCGAAATGCGATTTCGTTAATCGAATGATGAGGGCAGAGAGCATACTCGTATGTATTTTTAATGATTGTCTGTTAGGGGTGACTTGCAGGGATGATGCGAGGGGAATCGAACACATATAATATTTATATCCCTGCGATACTAACAGCTGTTAAGGCTATTACATACTGTCATTATTCTATTAATCATCGGTATTACTTAGTAGATTTATTAATCTCTTACGGGGAAACAGCCAACTACCTACTTATGTTTTTGTTTGTTTAGTGGTAAGGGCAGATCGTGTCGCTTTTTTTTTCTAGTTCACTTTCAAAATACATTGTGTTCCGTTTGAATTGAGTTCACGATTTGGAATAGTGTTATTAAACTTAAAAGACTTCTTAATATGTTTTTCTTAAAAACCTGGATATCTTTGAAATGTTTTTAATCAGTATGCCTGATTCTGAGGTTCTTATTCTTGGATTAAGACAACAATGTGTCTTTAATTTTGATACACAAGTAAGTATGTTAAGAGACGCCCTGTTTCTCAAACCATAAGATAAAGGATCAAGTCCGTTTACGTATTTCTCATCATCACAAACATAATACCATACATGTTTTTATAATAACTATCGAGAGGCGACCGCGCACGCTGCTCATGAGGAAGAACCCTCTGTGGTTCGAAACTAGTAGAGCTTTTCTCGGTATATTCACGCGAGTAACCTTTGATTTTCAGTTAATAATATCACACAATAGTAGGAAACAACAACTATATCTTTAACACCTTACATTATTCAAAGCACAATCAGTCTAGATCTAACATGATTAGTGTTAGCCTGATAGCGTGCAGTAATTATTAATTAATTAGCACAGAGTAAGCTTATACTGACATAGAGCTCTACAAGCGACGTTAACAATGCACGGAATTGTCTTTGGTGTGTGCTAAACATATTATTATGCATCTGTGGTAGCTAGCTGTCAATCTGTGTCGATTTATTGGTGTATCGTGTGTGATTTAAGGTACATAAAGTAGGTTTTTGGAAGTTTAGAACTAAAGATTTCAAAATATGACGGTCTTTTAAGGGATTATACGTAATAGATAATATTTCATTTGTATTTTATAAAATGTGAAAATTATATTTCATTAATACGCGATGAATATGAAGCTTAACAAACAGTAATTTAACAAGGTGACAATTCAGAACGTCTCTGTAATATTCTTACGTGCGAATACGATTAAATCGCAAATATAAGACAGAAATCCTCTTTTCACAACTGGGTCAAACTTTTACGCACATTCTGACAGGGAAGTCGAGTTACCTGCTAAATTATCGGGGACAATTTTTCAAAGGAAACGCGTAAAGATTAGTGCGGTCTCCCAAACTTTGAGGTGTACCTGTTAAACGCACTTTGGAATTACCGATGACATCTATTTTCCCGCCAAAGTTCTTTTTTTATCTGTCTCCTCGTCGCCGTCCATGTTCGTTTTTTGAAGTTTTTTTTTTTATGATTGGAGTTCTGGCGTTTTGAGCTTTAGTCGAACGGTTTGTGATTAAGTTGAATTTTTAGAATATGAGATATTTCAATTGCTTACTGACCAAATAGTACGTGAATAAGTAATACGAAACATATACTATAAGTAACAAAAACCTTACTTTCACGGTCAGTTAAGCGAAAACTTAATGATTAATCTTTCGAACCACTCGGAAATTATTAAAGAAAAAACGAAACAAAAGACAAAACTATCCACACACTACACATGGTACTTTCACCTAAACAATACAGTCAATAGAACAACATAAAGCCTATAATCCTATAAAACCAAAATCGAGAATCTATCCACGCAGCATCACAGCACTTTCACCCAAAGGAGACTGTCACTAGAACAACATAAGGCTCATAATCCTATATTGTAATCACTTACCTCAGTAACTTGACGTCCCACAGAGCTAGAACCTCAGGTGGTCTGGAAGCGCACAGGGCTAGTCTTGGACCGCACGCATGTAATCTGACGGGACCTGCCCTTATGTTGGCAGTAGTGGGTGATGATATGATGACTGCTGCAAACTCCTTGCTGCCCCCAAGATTATGTTGGACCTGGGAAATAAAGATGGAGAAACGTGAGCGTTAACACGTGTTGCATGAATTTATAGGGCCAAAACATAATAATAGAGTATGAAAATACTGGATACCGTAGTATTACTACGATCCTTGCACACTTCTTTAATTTCTATCTGATGATAAAGTCAAAGTCAAAGCACTTATTTCAATTAAACCATAATTTAGTACTTTGAAACGTCAACAAAGACAAAAAAGTAATAGTCTGTCAGTCAGTCCGTCAGTGAAGCTAGATGAAGCTAGGTGCTCAATACAAAATGTAGATTCGAATGGAGAAGAACGAGCAAGAAATTCCAATCGTAGATCATTCGATCGTTCGTCGATAGGCTGATGATGATGTATCAGTCTGTTTCCCAGTGCTGAGAAAAGGTTTTCTCTCATACGGAGAAGAAATGAGATACCTTTCTATCACTTTCATAGGTCATTGCTAATACTATAAGCCCTTCGTTAGAGTAGTCTTTTCCAGTTCAAGTAGTTCTTTGTTCTCATTGCAATTAGGTTTACGAAATGTACATTAATATAATATTCGAATGAAATGTTTATACAATGGAATGGTTTTTACTTTAGTACTCGTTGTCCAATTAAAAGAAGATTATGCGCAAAAAGTAAATCTAGATTTAGGACACTTGCTAATGAATTAAAAATGTAAAACTAATTAGCGTAACAGAAATATGTTCGCTTTTAAACAAGATTTCACTTCTAGCAATTAATTTAAGTGCTTTACTGAAATGACTGTAAAATTGTCTCAGAACTATTGCTTGCGTTTTGTGTTGTTTTTTTTTTTAGTGTTCATTTAGATTAACCTATGGAGTTTCTTGCTCGTTCTTCTCCATAAGAATCTATACCTTGGAATGAGCAAATAGCTTCACTTTTATTTTTTTGTTGACGTTCAAAAGTGCCTTTCTTGTCTAATTGAAATAAATGATTTTGACTTTGACTTTTGACATAATTTCATGATCACTGTTTTATAAAACATAACATAACATAACCTATTATCCCTGAAGGGGTAGGCAGAAGTGCACACAGAAGTAACACCCACTTTTCACTGTTTATGTTATGAGTCCCATGTAATAGGGGGTGCGCCTATTGCCATATACCGGGCACATTTCGAGACTCCGTACTACTACTGAGATTTTTTATAAAAAATACTTTGCCCGACCCGGGAATCGAACCCGAGGTCCCTTGCCCGGGAATCGCACTTGCGACCACTCGGCCAACGAGGTAGTCTTATAAGATTTAGCTATTACCAAACTAGGTGAATAGCTCATAGCTCATACCAATACCTACCCCTATGGAGATTAAAAGACATTATCTACGTCATGTCCTTAGACATTTAAACACGATACTTCGAAACACCACTTACTTTAACTCGCCATTGTATCAGTATCTCCCGGGTATCAAATGCGAGGACTGGCACCACATCCTCGCAGAGTATGGCCAGGGTATTGGACTCCTTGTCCAGGGTAAAGCCAGACTCGATACCCAGGTACTGCTGCAGCGACAGGGAAGCCTTGGTCTGGCCGTTCTTCTGACGCTCCTTCAAGTCCTTGTACAGTTGCAGGTGGACGCAGTCTGTGGAAGAAAGAAAGGATATATAATAGTGAAATTTGTAGTAGTAAAATGTTGGTGCTTTTTATTTGATGTAGTATGTATATTTGATGTGTTATATAATTTTAAACTAGCTGTTGTCTGCGACTCCGTCTGCGTAGTGTATGATTCCTGTTTTATCTCATGAGAGCATTTAATAGGAATAAAAAGTATCCTATCACCTAAGTCGGCTTGAACCTTGCCTATATAAAAATCAAAATTTCATCAAAATACATTTAGTAGTTCAAAGACAAACATTCAAACACCCAAACGAAGAAACTTTCACATTTATGTATATATATAATATTAGTGTAATATATTATGGTTCTGTTTAGTAAGATGGAGTAAAAATTTAATTGTTTTTAATAAATTTTATACCAATAAATCGATTTGTGTATAACACGCATACGCGTATTTTTAACTTATACTTAGCTACATAAAAGTAGGTACCTAATAGCCGATTAACAAAAAAAGGGTCTCCCATTATTTGTATCCAAAGTAATCAACGTCAAAGGGCCTAAATAAATAAGTAAATACAACAAAAACCTCTAATACTTTCTCCCGCCAATATTTCTCAGACCATAAACCAAGAAATACATGAAAATCATCGAAAAATGGCGGACGAAAAAAAAGCGAGAATTTTCCGCACACCCAAACGAAGGAATTCTTGACAGAAATTGGACGCTCGAGTACAGTAATCAAGAAAATGACTGTAGCTAGCTGTACACTCGCGAGCAAAATTATGAACGCAATGTGTAGGTTGAATTTTATAATGTATGGTAATCAATTGTATGGTATTTAATCTTTTTTATATATTTAACTAGTGACCCATCCCGGCTTCGCACGGGTGCAATATGCATGCATTATACATATAAACCTTTCTTAAGAATCACTCTATCTATTATAAAAACCGCATCAAAATCCGTTGCGTAGTTTTAAATATCTAAGCATACATAGGGACAGACAGATGGCGGATAGCGACTTTGTTTTATTCTATTTATTTATTTATACTTTATTGCACACACAGAAAAATCAATTGTTAACATTGCAATATTGTTTTATTCTATGTAGTGATGATTAGTCATTTGAAATTAAAAAAATCAGTCACATCGTGTCTATTCATATATTATTTTCAGTAGTTACAAAACTTAAATTAAAAAACAAATGAATCGCATACCGACAAGAAAATCCTTAATAACCGGTCTAATTCACGAAGCGACCTAAAAATTTTACATTTTTGCCAAAAATAAGTAATAAGTACTGCACGCCACTGTACTCACAGAAATTCTCCCGCTAGAAAATGTCGCCGTCGCCTAATGAACGCAAGTGTACCTGCTTTGTAACACTGGATACCTTTTAATGAGGCCACATAACGATGTCAAGTTTTCGGTTCCAAGTACTAGCTAGCTAATATTTTGTATGCGTTTTTAAAGTTTTCTTTAACCTTTCGTTTGTCTAAACGCGGATCCATGGGAGACACATATTTCATATCGGTGCATTCAAGCGATTAATGTTAGTTACCTATGTTGTGTTATGTTTTATGGGCTTTTCTGTTTTGTTTTTTTTTTCTTTTTTTTATAATTACATGAAATGTATAACGCCTTGGTTTTATGACTGTAATGTTATACTATTTAATTGAAATAAATAATTAAATGTGTCTTTGATGTGTTATGAAGTATGATGCTTGTGTTTCTTACAAAAATTGTTCGACAGTTCTTAGTGAAGATAGTTTGGTTTAACAAACAACATATTTCTCCATGTAAAATGAAGTATATAGAGGTTATAGAAGACTTTGCATTGAGTTTGGGTAGACGAGCAGACGGATCACCTGGTGGTAAGCGATCAGCGCCGCCCATGGACACCCGCAACACCAGAGGAGTCACAGGTGCGTTGCTGGCATTTTAAAAAAGTATACGGTCTGTTCTGGAAGTGAAAGTGAAGTGATTATTTAGAAGTCTTGAAGGTCTATAGAAATCATTATGTGTCCAGTCCATATTGTTAGTGTAAGTTTTTATGTCACAAGCCGGTAAACGAGCAGACGGATCATCTGATGGTAAGCAATGGTCGTCGTCTATGGACACCTGGAACACCACAGTTATAAGTGCGTAACCGGCCTTTTAGTGATAAGAAATTTGAGGATTTTTGGGGATCAGGGATTGGGGTAGGGTAATTGACCCTCCGGTAACCTCACTTTAAACAGAAACGATAGTATAACTTAGTCTATTAATATTAATAATCGGTCAAAATAAACTGCACTGACTATCAACAACTGCTCATCTAAAAATGAATTTCACGTTCACAAAAGCAATGTAGCGCATAAGATAAAAGATATAAGATGGAGAGAAACTAAAAGACTAAGAAAGAAAATTAAAAGATGGCGGCCCATTAATTTCTTACTACATGGGCTCACGACGCGAAGTGTGCTCAGATTTATTGCTGATAACTTTTCTTGCAGATTTATATGTACTTTGTAAGGGAAAACGGTAAAAAATAGACCACTTCCAACTTAAGACTAATACCCCTATATGATCTTATGTTTGAAATTGCCTATTACGACAAAATATAGCAGAAATTGCTTACAGAACACATTTCTCTAATTACATGTGTAAGATCACAACGCAAAGTCTGCCTTAACTTCTAAGACTAAGGTACATAATAAATTAATACAGAACACATTCAATGACATTCAGTCTTTCACCTATTATCTCATGAGTCTGCCGAAAAATATTCACTCAGAAATTAGACTTTAACATAATACTGTAAAGTGGATATTTGCTTGTTTGCGGGAAACAAAGCCCGCAACGACAGATTCCACTACATCAAAATCGAGTGTTCCATTTTCAAATTAATTCGGGACCGTTTTCTAATTGGCGCGACGTGACTCGGCTCTGTTCGGTTCTAATCAGTGTGTGTTTGAATTTGGAATGTAATTTGTGTATAGTGCTTTTGTGATTGTTCCTGCGCTTTGTGTGAAGTTACGATAGTTTGAATTTACATGACATACAAATTCATACAATAGATGTTATGATGGAACCGAACATATAAGTTAATAAAACAATTAAGTTTGATAGACCAAATGTTATGTAGATAGCCGAAATCAGACAAAATTACAAACCAAAGCCTGTAAATAATTTGAAACGTAACCCAAAACAATAGGGACGATGATGACAGGGTATGAAAATTAAAAATCTAATTAGTCCGACAGTTAGGTAATGAAAAAATATTAGACACGTATTTTTTATTTTGTCGTATAAAAAAACAATATTACTTCGTCATTTTAAAGTACATAAATCGTACCTAAAAGTGACGTCATGCGTAATTTCAAATCAATATATCTTCGAAACTATTCGTTTCCGTAAAATAAAATAAAAAATAGGTATCTATTATTTTAAATAATCTACCAGACGGACATAAATTAGTCACTTACCCTATTTAATTAAAAAAAGAAACTGTAATACAAGTAACTGGCCTTTATGACCAAGTTCTAAATTCAAATACCTAATTCTACGCCGCCATATCCTGTGTACCTCAGGCATAGACAAAACATGGCGTTTCGACGAAGTAGGGGCGAATAGATGGCGTCTAAGAAAACCGATACAACTTACATTTACGGGTCGTAAATAACAGGAACCGCAAAGTATAAATTACCTACAGTTTGTACCTATTTCCGAAAAAAATCGGTGAACTAGATGTTGTAAGGATTTTGTTCTTTTATAGTTGGCGTTATTTTTGGTAATCTGTGCTTAAACGTGTTAAACTGTTAATGCGTTTGTTTGGCGATTTGTGGCGAGTTTGCTTATTAATTTGAAGCTATGTGATGATGACTCACGAATTTGATGCAGCGGTCCACCCGGGCGCTGCTCACATCTCCGGGGAGGCGGCGAACTCTTCCCCCAGACGTCATAAGACTAACTGGCCGACTAGGCGACTACACATTTGACAACGACTGGGCAGACTTCTTTGATAAACCTGAACCTTATAAACTGGATTAGAATCCGCTACTCCAGACATTTTCTTGTGTAAAGGAGGACCAAAGTATAATAGGAGACTGTCAGTTTGTTGATGCGATAAAGATGAATATTAAAGTTTAAGTATCGTAGCTTCCTGCCTCGCACAGCAAAACTGTGGAATGATCTGTCGTCGGCGGTATTTCCGAACCGATACGACCTTCAAACCTTCAAGAAAAGAGCGTACTCCTTTTTAAAGGGCCGGCAACGCACCTGTGACTCTTCTGGTGTTACGGGTGTCCATGGGCGGCGCTTACCATCAGGTGATTCGTCTGCTCGTTTGCCTCCAATTCCATAAAAAAAAATATAAAAAAGCATCTCAAACCCTCTTGGATTATTCATCAACAGCCTTTAAGTGCCCACTGCTGATCAAAGCCGCTTCTCACACGGAGAAGGTTTTAAACATAAATCACCGCGTTTGCTCAATGCGGGTTGGGGACTTCAAACTTATAATTAGAAATTATAAGTCTAGGTTTCCTCACGATGTTTTCCTTCACCGTTTGTCAGTGGTGTCTGAATAATCTTAAAAAGTATATATAACTCGGAAAAAGTCACGTTCGTACTTGCCGTTGATAGGTTTCGAAATTGCGTCCTCATGCATGAGAAGCGGGCGTCTTAAACCTCCGGGCCACCATGACTGGCAATGACCATAATTTTGGAGTATTCAATACTTCATACACCGATCCATTACATAATTTGTCGAGAAAACTATTTTAGCTTATCGCGTTCATGCACAAGTTGTTATTTCACTATAATCGTAATCCAGGGTGACTTTTACACGATGACATTCCATTCTAACCTTCGGTTACACCGTAGGGCAATCGTTATCGACTCTGCAGTAACCTTCGCGACCCCTAGCTACATGTCGTCGACAGCGATTTCACTTTTTATGCTCGTGACAAACTGGCTTATCGGTGTAGTTAGCGTGTCCTAGGTATCTGGGTCGTTTGTTTGTTAGTTTGTTTTATCTATGTATGT